ACAGCTCTATGAAGACCTACGAGACCTTCTAGAAGTAACACCCCCAAAAGATGTCTTTTTCATTATAGGGGACTGGAATGCAAAAGTAGGAAGTCAAGAAACACCTGGAGTAACAGGCAAATTTGGCCTTGGAGTACAGAATGAAGCAGGGCAAAGGCTAATAGAGTTTTGTCAAGAAAACGCACTGGTCATAGCAAATACCCTCTTCCAACAACACAAGAGAAGACTCTACATGTGGACATCACCAGATGGTCAATACTGAAATCAGATTGATTATATTCTTTGCAGCCAAAGATGGAGAAGCTCTATACAGTCAGCAAAAACAAGACCGGGAGCTGACTGTGGCTTAGATCATGAACTCCTTATTGCCAAATTCAGACTGAAATTGAAGAAAGTGGAGAAAACCACTAGACCATTCAGGTATGACCTAAATCAAATCCTTTATGGCTATACAGTGGAAGTGAGAAATAGATTTAAGGGACTAGATCTGATAGACAGAGTGCCTGAAGAGCTATGGACAGAGGTTCGTGACATTGTACAGGAGACAAGAATCAAAACCATCCCCAAGAGGAGCAACAACTCTCATCAAAGCACATTTTGTTTCTTGAAACTGTGATGTCGTTTTAAAAATGTGGACAGAATTATTAGTCATGTGGAACCCCGAATCCCCTGATGTTCACTGCACTGCCTTGAATATAGCACAAATGCATGTGCTGGTGTATTGACCTTCCGCATATAATGAAGTTGTTCTGTAGGCCAAGAAAAAATTAGGTCACTCGATGGGGCCCTGTGCATTCCCTGATTCACATCTGCATTCACATCTGGACAATGGGACTTGGCGGGAAAGCAAATCTCACCCAGGGTAGGGACATGTGCCCTTTCTCTCACCCGTCAGTCCTTGGGTTCACTATTGTATTTCACACTTAGGGAACCACAGCCTTCTTAATAGAAGGCTACAAATCATTCCAAGCATTGTGAAGGGGGAATGCACCAGGAATAATGAACAGGAAAGGTTTTTCAGTGTTTCTCCGGGAAAACCTTAGCAGTTAGAGATTGAGAAGTGCTTTGGGTGGACCAGAGGCTGGAATAGAGTGTCTTCAGAAATCAGCCAGCGCAGACTGCTCACGGACACTCAGGAAATGGGGACCCAGAGAGGTGAAATCATCTGCCAAGGTTACCCAGTTAGCAGCAATGCCTGGACTAGAGTCCAAGTTTTCTCTTCTTTCTTTCTCTGTGATTCACCACTTATTTATTTATTTTATTGGAGAATAAGCGCATCACAGGATTGAGCTGGTTTCTGCTGGACAGCAGTGTGAATCAGCTTGCTCTCTCTCGCTCTCTCCCCCTCTCTCTCTCTCCCCCTCGCTCTCTCTCTCCCTCGCTCTCTCTCTCCCTCGCTCTCTCTCTCTCTCTCCCCCTCGCTCTCTCTCTCCCTCGCTCTCTCTCTCTCCCCCCCCCTCTCTCTCTCTCTCTCTCTCGCTCTCTTGCTCTCACTCTCTCTCGCTCTGTCTCTTGTTCTCTCGCTCTCTCTCTCTCTCGCCCTTGCTCCCTCGCTCTCTTACTCTCTCTCTCTCTCTCTCTCTCTCACTCTCTCTCTCTCTCTCCCTCGCTCTCTCTCGCCCTTGCTCTCTCTCTCTCTCACTCTCTCTCGCTCTGTCTCTTGTTCTCTCTCTCGCTCTCTCTCTCTCTCTCTCTCTCGCTCTCTCGCTCGCTCTCTCTCTCTCTCTCGCTCTCTCCCTCGCTCTCTCTCTCTCTCACTCTCTCCCTCGCTCTCTCTCTCTCTCACTCTCTCTCTCTCTCCCCCTCGCTGTCTCTCTCTCTCTCTCTCACTCTCTCTCTCTCTCTCCCTCGCTCTCTTTCTCTCTCGCCCTTGCTCTCTCTCTCTCTCACTCTCTCTCGCTCTGTCTCTTGTTCTCTCTCTCGCTCTCTCTCTCACTCTCTCTCTCTCTCTCTCCCTCGCTCTCTCTCTCTCTCTCTCTCTCCCCCCCCCCTCTCTCTCTCTCCCTCGCTCTCTCGCTCTCTTGCTCTCACTCTCTCTCGCTCTGTCTCTTGTTCTCTCGCTCTCTCTCTCTCTCGCCCTTGCTCCCTCGCTCTCTTACTCTCTCTCTCTCTCTCTCCCTCGCTCTCTCGCTCTCTCTCTCACTCTCTCTCGCTCTGTCTCTTGTTCTCTCGCTCTCTCTCTCTCACTCTCTCTCGCTCTGTCTCTTGTTCTCTCACTCTCTCTCTCTCACTCTCTCTCTCCCCCCCCCTCTCTCTCTCCCCCTCGCTCTCTCTCTCCCTCGCTCTCTCTCTCCCTCGCTCTCTCTCTCTCTCTCTCGCTCTCTTGCTCTCACTCTCTCTCGCTCTGTCTCTTGTTCTCTCGCTCTCTCTCTCTCTCTCACTCGCTCGCTCTCTCTCTCTCCCCCTCGCTTTCTCTCTCCCTCGCTCTCTCTCTCTCTGTCTCTCTCTCTCCCCCTCGCTCTCTCGCTCTCTTGCTCACACACACACACACACACACACACACACACACACACACACACACCACACACACACCACACACACTCCCTCCTGAGCATCGCAGGGGCTATCCGGCGGCTGCCCGCCAGCTAGTGATGTCACGCGTGGCGGTGTATACATGCCGATTCCAACTCCCAAGTCATCCCACCGTTTCCGCCCGCTCTGTGTCCACAAGTCCAATCTCCGTGTCTGCGTCTCCGTTCCTGCCCTGCAAATAGGTTTTCTAACTCTCAGTTCAAGGCTGTTTCTGCTACCTTTTCTCTCTCTGCCTCTCTCTCCCGACCAATTTATCATTTAAATTAAAAAGGAAAGAATCTAAAGGGGTGTTTTTCAAAATATAATTTACAACCACCTGTCTGAATCACTGTGGATGCCTTTCAAATGCAGACTTCTGGGATTTATCCAGACCTTCCAAATAAAACTGAGGCCTGGGTTTCTGCATTTTCTACAAGCTCCTCAGTGGTCTCAGGCACATTCTGTGTGAGAACCACAGATCCAGGGGCTATAAGCACGCAGGTGGCAGGAAATGAGTGCTAACTTTTAGCATCACTGGATTTATCCTGAATACGACCATTCATCGTTGCTTGCTGTTCTTAGCGTCAGTCATGGAGTGACCCGAACAGGGCTGATGATGGCTCGCAGAGGACCTGCATTAGCTTTCCTGTGTCCATCATGTCTGCTCTGAGCATAAGTATAGCTGTTAATATTAGCTCTTTTTTTCCCCACAGCTCTGCTGTGCTTGGGGGAAGGTAAATGAATGCTTTGCATGTATCCTCAAATATTCAGGCCCACTCCAGCCTCTGCTGAATCATAGTACCTGAACTCAGAATGTCTCACAGTGAGTCCACAAATAGTTCAGTCAGAGTCCCAATTACTTCTGCACGCAGGTAATTATTACTTCTGCCATTTAAGGGAAATTCCAGTCCATTGCTTATAGCAATAAATTTAAGACCGTATTTGTTCTCTCTCCTGTTTCTATTCATAGCATAGATTTAAAATTTCATTCGGTGGAGTTGGGCTTCCCAGGTGATGCAGTGGTAAAGAATCTGCCTGCCAACACAAGAGATGTAGGAGAGGCAGTTTTGGTCCCTGGGTCAGGAAGATCCCCTGGAGGAGGAAATGATAGCCCACTCCAGTGTTCTTGCCTGGGAAATCCATAAACAGAGGAGCCTGGTGGGCTACAGACTGTGGGGTCACAGAGTCTGACACAACCATGCACGCATGCACATTCTGTGGGGTTCCAGCTCTGAATGGTCTTTCAGTATGAATTTGGTTAATAGTAAATAAAATAATACCATTATCTCCTTTTTGTCCCCTCAGCTACTAAGAGACTTCAAAACAACCAACCAAACAAACAAACAAAACCCTTCACAGCCCATTTCCTCTGCCTTGGGGAAAGTTCCCCATGTCATGGTGGGAGTGACTGGGCAGTTCTGTGGGAGAGTCCCCATGCCACGGTGGATGAGTACCTGGGCGCTTCTGTGGGGAGAGTCCCCATGCCATGGTGGATGAGTACCTGGGCAGCTCTGTGGGGAGAGTCCCCATGCCACGGTGGATGAGTACCTGGGCAATTCTGTGGGGAGAGTCCCCATGCCATGGTGGATGAGTGACTGGGCAATTCTGTGGGGAGAGTCCCCATGCCATGGTGGATGAGTGACTGGGCAGCTCTGTGGGGAGAGTCCCCATGCCATGGTGGATGAGTGACTGGGCAGCTCTGTGGGGAGAGTCCGCCTGCCATGGTGGATGAGTACCTGGGTAGTTCTGTGGGGGAGAGTCCCCATACCATGGTGGATGATACCTGGGCAATTCTGTGGGGAGAGTCCCCATGCCCCGGTGGATGAGTACCTGGGCAATTCTGTGGGGAGAGTCCCCATGCCCCGGTGGATGAGTGACTGGGCAGTTCTGTGGGAGAGTCCCCATGCCACGGTGAATGAGTACCTGGGCAGCTCTGTGGGGAGAGTCCCCATGCCATGGTGGATGAGTGACTGGGCAATTCTGTGGGGAGAGTCCCCATGCCATGGTGGATGAGTGACTGGGCAGCTCTGTGGGGAGAGTCCCCATGCCATGGTGGATGAGTGACTGGGCAGCTCTGTGGGGAGAGTCCGCCTGCCATGGTGGATGAGTGACTGGGCAGTTCTGTGGGGGAGAGTCCCCATACCATGGTGGATGATACCTGGGCAATTCTGTGGGGAGAGTCCCCATGCCACAGTGGATGAGTACCTGGGCACTTCTGTGGGGAGAGTCCCCATACCATGGTGGATGATACCTGGGCAGTTCTGTGGGGAGAGTCCCCTTGCCACGGCAGATGAGTGACTGGGCATTTCTATGGGGAGAGTCCCCAAGCCACGGTGGATGACTGGGCGGCAGTTCTGTGGGGAGAATCCCCATGCCATGGTGGATGAGTGACTGGGCAGTTCTGTGGGAGGACTGAGCTGCTCTGGAGGAGTGTGAGCTGGCGGCAGTCTCATCCGGGACTTTAACAGGTTTCACGCTGTGTTTTGCAGCATGCTCTTTCTGACAAGGCGTGTGTGAAAGCCTTTGACCCAAAGACAACCTGCTTGCAGGAATGCCTTATCACCACCTTCCAGGAAGCCTACTTTGTTTCAGAAAGTTTTGAAGAAGCCAAAGAAAAGATGAGGTAAATTTCTTTTGCTTCCATCTGGAGAACATGACTTTTTATTTTGCTGGCTCTGTTCCTTCCTTATATCTGTCTCTTAAACCTGTGAGGGTTGATCCCATATTCTTCTCTGTTCTGTTTATTTTGCAGGGACTTTGCAAAGTCAATTACCCGTCCCTTCTCAGTCTACTTCAATCCCTACACTCAGAGTATTGAAATTCTGAAAGACACCAGGAGTATTGAAAACGTGGTGCAGGACCTCCGCAGCGATTTGAACACCGTGTGTGATGCCTTGAATAAAATGAACCAGTATCTGGGGATTTGATGCCTGGGACCCGTGTCACTGCCAGCATGATGTTTTGGGGGCTTAACAACAATTCAGTGTCATATAACACCAATAGCTTTCTGTGTCATGGCTTGGCTAGTAAGCATGCAGTTTTGTGTATTCCTACCTACTTGTAATTTACTGTGATAATGTGTGAGACACCATAAAGAGCGCAATGGCAGAGAGCCACTCATTGTATGAAGCAGGTTTAAATGTCTTAAATAAATTTGACGTTCCAGCTTAGTGTCCTTAGCCAAACTGCAGCTGTTGAAAATTGGTAACAAATAGCCCTCTTCTGACTCTAGCTTGTGACCTTTCCTTTCTCAGATCCCAGCCTTTCCATTGTGTTCATTAGATAAAATGAAAATAGCAGTGAGACTGTTTATTTTCTCCAGTGTGAGTGTTTTCACAGCACTGTTTGACATAAACCCAGAATTGTATGAAACTTCTTATCACATTACTAAAAGATTCAGTATTCTCTTTCAAAAATGAATAGTGAACACACTAGTTGGAATGGTTTTCAGGATGATTATTTATACAATGTAAGAAAAGTGAACTTTTCACACATAGAATATGTAGGTTGCATTGATCTTGTGGAGACTGAGTTGTGGCAAGCTTCCCAAAGTATTTTGGAAGAAAATCCTTCCAGGGTAGACATTAGGAAAGACTAAACAGTAGAGAATAAATCTTGGGACTGTGGATTTTATGCTGGAATAAAGTGACTATTCTGCTCAGGTGTTTAACCCATTTCTCTTGGAGAATAATAATTTTCATAGAGCTTTGATTTCTGGTGTAGAAATTGAGTCACAGAGAGTTAAGTGATTTGCTCAGAGTAGCACAGTTAGCTGTGCATCAATGTTAACAGCCCCTCACATCTCACTTTTGTATTGCTAAGACATTCAGCTTGGTGTCTGTGTGTAATTTATGTAGTCACAGAAGGGAAGATAACGCTTATCGGAACTAATGTTATCAGTAAATAGGACTTGGCTTGTGATCAAGGGTTGACAAAAGTACAGATGTTTCCTCTCACAACCCCAAACCAAGCTAGGTCTCTGGGAGTCCGGCCACTTGTCCAAAGTTGGGGCAAATTTAGGTCGATGATAGTGATATAGCCCAGGAAGGAAATCTAGGGAAGAGGGGATGTATGTGTACACAGAGCCGATTCACTGCTGTACCGCAGTGACTGATAGAACCTGGCAAAGCAACTGCACTCCAGCCGCAGAAATGGAAACGCTGCGCTGCAAGCGTCAGTCATCCCTTGCTTATAGTCAGGTGGTCAAGTGAACAAATAAGTGCTGAATGAGTGAATGAATTTTAGCTTCTGATTCCCTTAACAAATGCAGTCATTGTTCCTCTAATCTGCTTTAGTAGCACAGAATACTGGGTGGGGGAAAGAGAGGATGAGAAAAAGGAGAGAAGAGTAAGATGACAGAATGACTTTTAAGTTAGCAATTCTAAAATATTTACTTCCAAGGATTTTCTTTAAATAGGAAATTGCATAAAATTTCAAACTAACTCATACTGTTGCATGGCCTGTTACAAGTCAGAAATTTTGGAGCTAAATATATTCAGGAAGAATATGAGAAAATTAAAATATACATCAGAGTGAGGTAAAATTACAATGAGAAATCAGACGTTTGACTCTTGGTTATCTTGATGATTGAGGCTCTTTCATTTTTAAAGGATTCTCAAAACAATGGAGATTTTTTTTTCCCCCATTTATTTTTATTTGTTGGAGGCTAATTACTTTATAACATTGTAGTGGTTTTTGCCACACATTGACATGAATCAGTCATGGATTTACATGTGTTCCCCATCCTGAACCCCCCTCCCACATCCCTCCCCATCCCATCCCTCTGGGGCATCCCAGTGCACCAGCCCCAAGCACTTGTCTCATGCATCCAACCTGGACTGGCGATCTGTTTCACACTTGATAATATACATGTTTTGATGCTGTCCTCTCAGATCTGAGAATGGAGTTTTTGAGAAGGGATTTGATGGTTAGAATGTTAGAATCATGCAGTTTAAATGTTGTTTGAGCTGAAAGAGTAGTGCCTTGAAAAATTATCAGTGGTAGAGAAATGATGAGCAAGCTGAACCCAAATAAAAGGATCTGAAATGATCAAGTAGTTGTAAATTCCAATCATTTTCTAAATCCATAAAGACCTAATTTCTTACATCTTGCTTTGCTTGATCTAAATGACCCTGAATAATTATTTATAAATACTAATCTAGAATGATAACCCAGAACAATGAATCCAGAAATTTCCCATAAACAGTTAAGAGAGACTAGGAGCAGTAAGAAATTTACAGAACTGGTTGCTGAATTTTCTCAAAGGAGAAAATTGGCTAAGAAACTCTTCATGTCTGCTTTTGCTGTTATTCCCAAAATTTGGTGTTGCTTTAGATAATATTTTACCTTTTGCAGCAACAGGGATGACATGGAGGGCATTATGTTAAGTGAAATAACCCAGCCAGAGAAAAACAAATACTGTATGATATCACTTATATGTGAAATAAGAAAATACAACCAACTAGTAGATAGACAGAAAAGAAGCAGAGTCACAGAGAGAACAAAACAGTGGTTACCAGGGGAGGGGAAGACGGGAGGGGCAGGAGAGGGTTGGAGGGTTAGGAGGTACAGAGCAGTAAGTATAAGATAAGCTGCAAGGATATACTGGACAACATGGGGAGTATAGCCAACATTTTATATTATCTATAAAGGGAACATAGCCTTTAAAAATTCTGAATACTATACACCTATACTTATGTTACAGTCACTGTAATTCAGTAAAAAGGGAAAAAACCCAAAAGTAGCCATCAAACTTTTCCCTTCTAGCCCCAGTGAAAGGGGAGTTTCTTAATGTACTTAAGAATGTACTGTTAAATGTACTGAAGGAAGAATTGTACTTAATTATAGACAAACTCCCTCAACAAAAATAACAGTTGATCTGTCTTCTGACTGGCTATAGTGGCATCCTCAGTTTTCTTACATGGGCAAAAATCTATGTGTTTCAAAAATAGAAGAGTTGCAAAGGCTTTCACACAGGCTTATAGAGGTATCATACAAGGAGGAGGGATTACTTGATTCTTTCTAGATTTGTTATCCATTTGGGATAGCAGTAACCATGGTTCTCGCCATGTGAAACAATGGAATTGTGGTTTTCATTTGTTGTGAGCATTTAACATGCAAATGTCATTACAACTTATAGTGGGAAAAGTCCTATAAAGTTTAATAGCCATCAGAGGAGACGTGTTGGCAGAAAAAGTCCCCAAATGGAAATAGTACAACAAAATAATCACAGCCAGATTCTTGTCATATCTGATACCTGCTCAGTGCAACCATTTGTCTCAATTATGCCTCCTGACTTAAAGCTAAATTAAATAGATCCAAGGGCAATTATAAATTTAAAGACACTTGCTCACTGTCATCTCACTGTGACTCGCTACTTTATTTTGGCTTTGCTGCTGTCTTCTGTAATCAGCTAATCAGAAATCAACCCAAGGTTCCTAGTAACACCAGATATCTTATGTATCATCCTTTGCAAAAAACAGAATCTGATTAGTTCAGTTTTTCCTTAAAGCATTTTTGTCTGTTATGAGTTGGGGTCAGTCAACCATTGTATTCCTGGATGATCAGTTTATTTGGCCTAATAAACTGGTTCATAAATTGCAGGGTTTTTTCAAAAAATATTTTTTAGTTGAAGGATAATTGCTTTATAAAATTTTGTTAGCTTCTGCCAAATATCAGCATCAATCAGCCATAGGTATACATATGTTCCCTCCCTCTTGAACCTCCATTCCATCTCCCTCCCCATAAATTGCTGGTTTTAAGAGTGGGTAACTGTGACTCAGGCTGGTTAAAAAATAATTTTTTTTTTTTTTACATTAGTGTTAAGGGTTGTGAAATGAGTGTCTGACTTAGTCTCATTTATTTACTGTGTAATTTAGAGATGATGCTTTATGGGAATGATATATCTGTGCCTGTCTTGCTTGCACATGGTAAATGGGCCTGTGTCTAATGAATGTAATGTATTGCAACATTTTCCAACATGAAAAGTTTGAAAATGAAAAACAGTGTGCTTTAACGTGAAAGCAAATAGAAATACAAAGTTTCATTTTCAAATGCAGTCATGGCTCACATCATCTCATTTTCTTCATTTGAGGAGGAAAACATTAACACAAGATGTAGTTGTCCTCTAATTCATTTGATCTAATTTTCAACCTCTAAAGAATCAAGCCCTGATGCTTACTCTCCTGAACCTTGTCTTACTTATAATGAAAAAGAAAGCAGTCCAGAGTTTTCTAGTGTGTCTGAGGTTTTTTTTTTTTCCTTCTTCTTCAATTTCCAAAGACATTCTCTTATTGGGAAAATTATTCTTATGCAGATTGCCATTTTCTGGGAAGAGGCAAGGGAATTAATAGTGATATATTGCTCTTCTCATATTAGATTTGCACATGTTCAAAATAAACCAGCTCTAAAACATGGAATGGTGAGTCTTTATAATGTCACTCGTGGTCTCAAAATGTTCAGATATGGCTTAGACCATATCAGGGGCTGTATCAGGCACTGTTCTCAACACTGAGTATATAGTGATGAATTAGGGAGAAGAGGTTTATGCCCACTTCAAACTTATATTCTAAGAGAGATATCAGCAAAAAAACAGATTGAGATCATGGCAAATTTTATGAAGAAAATAGTTGGAGTGATGTGATACTGAGCAATGGAATGGGGAGGGAATAAGCCGGCCAGGGAAAGCATTTCTGAGCAGATGGCATTTGACTAAGAACCATGGGATAAGCAGAAGCCAGGCATGAAGAGAGCCATGGAAAGAGTGTCCTCTGAAAGAGGGAACAGTAAGATCATAGGCGGAAATGGATGTGTTCACAGAAGACAGATTGCCAGTGGGCTGGAGAGGAAGGATAGAATGACAGCCTGGGAAGCAAGGATGAGATAATACAGGTTCCAGAGGGGGCGGGGTGGGCTCTCAGTGCAGTGG